GCCCTGCACAGCCGCCACCTCCCCTGGGCAAAGAGAACAGCAATTGTCAGCCACTGACACGCCAGCAAACAAGTGTGGGGCTGGTCCTGCACGGCTTTGAGACTCCTCACTTTGGTGAGCTGACCGTTTTGTCTCCTTGCAGTGCCCCACCTTGAGCAAGCTTGCTTCGTGGCCACTGTGACTTGGACTGGGACACCACCACCTCGTACCCTCACAGAGCTGGCATCCCTCAGGGACACTGCTGTCCTCAGCTGGGAGAAAGCAAAGCCAAGGAGCCAGACAACAAGAGGCAAGGCTTGTACTGGTAACTAAAAAGTTAGTTAATATAAACCCAAAACTTATTAGCTATTAATATTTATGTATGCATAAGATTTATATATATATACACTTTCGTTCTATAAATAAATAAATGAATCCTCCTAGATCTCTGAAAAAAACATCCATGAGAAAGCCACAAAAGTGGCCCACCTGCCAGGGGGGTGAACATCGGCTATATACTGAGACCAGTCTTCTCCTGCCTCAGGGTGTTGTTTTAGGAAAAAGAAAGTTTAAGACGATAAAACCCAACATTTACTCTCAAATCTTTTTTATAGGCCTGGCGTAGGGACGCAGTATCCTGTGATAAAGCTCTTGCACTGAGAACAACCCTAAGACATACTAAATACGGTGTAAAACCCAACCATCCCAACTCAAAGGCAGGGGGTTTTGCATGGGAGAGGTGAGAAAGGAAGGGGAAGGGAGAGGATTTTTCCTAAAAGTCACATTTTTCTACCCCTCTCTTAAAGGAGAGTTTTCCAAGGGTCAGCAGGCAGCTGCCAGGGTTGGGGAGGGCAGTGCGTGGGCACCCCAGCATCGTGCTCTGCTCGCTGCAGCCACATGCCCAGCTCAGCTGCAGCTCTGCACAGGTTCTGCTCTGAAACCTTGAGAAACTTCTGTCTCCACCTGACAAATAGCACATTTCTGTGGTTTCTGATCCTATCTAAAAGGAATGCATTTACTGAATTCAGCTGTGGGGCGGAAAAAAACCTTGAAAGGAAAAAAAAAAAATCTTTTATTTAGGCACTTAGTAAAATACAGCAGCCATTTCAGACACGGACAATGTCTTTAATAGTTGCACAAATCTCGTCTTCACCCCAGGGCTAAGACTATACACACAGCATATCAGCTTCAAAGTCTATATGTACCCAAAACACAGAGGGAACTGCAAAAAGCAGGGGCAGCAAGGGGGACTCAATTAAGATGTGAAACAGCTCCATGGTGAAAGTGGTGGGGAGGAGCAGGGCAGTGGGTTTGGTACAGCCTTAAGCTCTTCCCTGGCTTGAGCCCAGCCATGACACACCAAGCTGAGCAAAATCCACCCACCTGGAGTGGGAGACCCACTCCTACAGATGCAAGCCAATGCATGCCACACAGCTGGTGTGGTTCATGAGCACAGCTAACTCTGGGTTTAGCAGATACCTGAGCTGAAAAGCTTTCTTGCTTTCTGGTTTGTTTGTTTTTTGTTTTTTTTTTTTTTCCCTTTGCTCAATGCACCTTCTGACCTGACTTCAGGAGGGAGAGGAAGAGGAAACAGTCCCTGCCCCTTTCAGGAGAGTGTACTTACCAGAAACCAGCCCGCAGGCTGAGGCAGCCCTTGGGCACGCAACCCGCCCCACGCACGGTTTCTCTTTTGCTGGCTCT